CTAGAAGCTTCTGTAAGCTCCCCACGGCACTGTGCACTCTGTCATAGCAACTTCAGACTCTTGACTGGCGTTGTGGGATGCTGCGCAGCATCTGGACCCAGGACTGTGAAAATGGCCCACACAATTTTTGAGAAGCAGGTGACAAAAAGGCTGCTCGGCGCGATTCCAGATTTCAGTGACACCCACCCTTCAGATATAAGTGCGTGGACGGAAGCCAGCACGAAGGACCTTCTCATCTTCATGCTCTTCCCCTTCCCAAACCCTCCATGAATGTGGACTGCTTTTGCAAACTAGGAGACAGGCGATAAACGCCGTTTTTATAACCAGAGCTAATTTCCTTCAGATTAGTGGGGTGGATGACAACAAGGCCAGCCCTGCCCAGAGGACACTGCTGCTCTGCCACCAGCCTGCAATCAGGCATGCAGCTGACCTTGCATGGGTCGCAGCATTAAACCGAGCTGCTGTGTTCTTACGAGCTGGGCTCTAAGCTCTACTAGGAAGACCACTGGCCCTGACGGTCATGTGACCTAGAGTTCAAATTCTCTCTGAACGGCCACTCATTGCGGGCTGGCACAGTTCTGGGCAGAGAGAGCTCACACCTCCTGAAGCAGCACAATCCCCTGTGCACATTCAGACCAGAGGCTCCCTTATCTGGGGCTCAGTCTCAAGCTCGGGCTTTTGTCTGCCTCAGGGCCTTTGCACACTCTGGCCCTACTGTCTAAAACCCTCTTTTCTAAGGTCTCTGAGTGCTAACTTGGGCTTACCATTAGGGTCTCAACAGAAACATCTGAGCACTCAGGCTCTAATGGGAAACTGGCTCCATAAGCTGCAAGTCCGACAAGCGCAACTATCTGAGGTAGAAGGCCTGAGTGTTGAGGAACCGACTGTGTGCCAGATTCCAGGCTGGCACAAGGAGAAAGGCCAGGCCCAGCCCTCTGAGCCCTGGCAGCCTGGGTCTTGGCCTTTATGAAAGGCCAGGTAATATCTCCTCCCGGAAGCCTTCCCTGACTATTGGACTCCACAGCCCCTGTTTTGACCTCACCACAGGCTGTGACTGTTTTCCACCAACTGGCAGCCTCTAGCCTGCCCAGAACCAGTGAGGTCCGTAAGAAAGACTGAGAGCAGAGGATGTGAGCTTGATCCCTGCCCGAGGACACAGTGTCATGCAGGGCTGCAAAGGGCTGGTAGTTTTGAGTGGGCAGAGCCCCTCCCCCAGATAAAGCAAGAAAAGGTGGATAGACAGCCTAAGATCACACAGAAGGAAGTGACAGGGCTAACACCCACCCTGGGCACCTACATTCCTGGATGAAGTCAGTTACCCAAGCTCAGGGACCCCTGCCACAGCCAGGACAGGCCTGCCTAATCAGAAAGCCAAGGAGCTCTCTCGCTACAGAGGACAGACTGGCCCCAGGCCATTCCTGGTCCCCAGGCATTTGGATCCAGTCCTGCCAGCTCAGCTGGCAGGGAATCTCAAGCCTCTTCTGGGCTTCCAATTCCTCCCCTGTAAAACCAGAGCCCCACCACTCAGAGGCCCCATGATGAGGCCCTGGGCAGCCCCAGCTAGGGAGTATGAGCAGCTATGGGTCTGCTGGTGATGCCCCGCCCCGGCAGCCCCAGGTGGTACAGGCAGGCCCCAAAAGCCCCTTATGGGCTCCCACAGATACCACCAGGCCCTATAGAACCCATACCAACATATTCCCAGTGGCCTGTCCACTTAGTACACATCATGGGCCCCCAAAAGATGGAGGGTGTAGCGGCTAGGGAGCCCAAGAATCAAGAGAGAAATCTTAAACCGCACTCTGGCAAAGGCTGCTGGAGCCTTTGACACGAGGCAGCTGGGGCTCTGGGAGCCCATCAGCTCGTGATCCCACAGTCAGACCCCTGCAGAGGGGTGGCCCCAGCGCTGACTCTTGCTCCTGTTCCCCCAATCGCCCAGTGGTTCCGAGCCGGTTCCCTGCTCTTCGGGCCTCAGTGTGCGAACATGTACAATGTGCACAATGGGGCTGTCTCCCAGGGCTGTGTGAAAAAGGCTAGTGACGGCCAGTCCCTGCAGTAGGGTCTGGGGGTGGGGGTGGGGGAGTCTTCCTGTGGTTTCACCAGAGTTCCCAATCGTAGACCCTGGGCAGGAAATAGTCAAGGAGGACAAAGGCTGGTCTCCCCCTACCGCTCCCAGACTCCCGGCACACAGGACCCAGCTTTGCCCTGGCTAGCCCACAAGGCCCCAGTCCCCCTCAGCAGGACACAGCTCAGGTGGGGGCAGGACACAAATTTCAAAGACAGTGCCCCACGCCAGGATGGGTGAGGTACTGCGGACACCAGGAGGATGGGAGGCAGCTACTCTCCACAGTCAGCAAGGCCTATCCAGGGGCTTCCACACCAGTCCACACAGACCCATTGCCCAGCCAGCCATGAAAGGCGCTTTGGCCCTTGCCAGCCCCCACACCCATGACCCAGCAAAGCAGGCACAGACAGCCCAGAAAGCGAGATGAGGCGATGAAGGCTCAGAGAGGTCAAGCGCTTGCCCAAGGCACCAACACACAAGGGCAGGGGCAGGACAAGCATCCAGGCCTGGCCTGCTCCACAGCCCCTCGCTAGGAGCAGAGGTGGCGGGGGACAGAGACGGGCTGGTTTCCACGCTGTGAATTATTCAGTGGCTAATTCTGCTTGGAGGAGAGGAGGTAGGAGAGAGGGTGAGTCAGAGCACTCCCACAGCAGAGCAGGGAGCAAGGCAGGGAAGGGGGCACAAACGGGGGCCTCTCAGGGCTGAGGGGCCTGGCTGTTGCCGCCCCTGCACCTTACTCACTCCCTACCGCATGTCCTGGAACCTGTGTGCCCAGGAGGGCCAAGGCATGGCAAGGGCAACTGTGGTCCATAGCCTGGGCAGGTGGCAGCCCACAGGCCAGCAGGAAACAGCCACGCTGGGTGTCCCAGGAGCTGCCCCTAAGCTTCAGAATTGACAAATGGGCCAAGCCCTCAGGGCAGAGAACTTTCAAAGTAAAGCATGTTCTTCTCTCTGCATACAAAGTCCTCCAGGGAAGTGAGTGATAATGCCATCAGAACCCATGTTGGTTCCTGGGGAGCGCAGAGTGCATGTTGGCCCTACACTGAAGCCCCTGTTGGGTTTTTCCTAGAACGTGGGCCTTAGGTTTTATACAACGCCATGCCTCTCTCCTCCCTGTTGTCTCTGAGCTTGCCTGGGCCAATCCCTCACCCCCTTTCTAATCTGCTTAGAAAGGCAATCAGTGGAGCTGGTGGACCTGAGCAGCAGGTAAGTACTGAGCTGAGAGCAGCTGGCTCTCCTGCAGGGCGGGCTGCCCCACAGCACCCTCATTCTTACTTCCGGTTCTTCTCCTCCGGATAAGAGAGGCCACAGAGAACAGAGTTCTGCATAGACAAGGTGTTACATGGCCCACAGAATACTGGATTTCCAAGCCATCTTGACAAGCAAAGCAGTTCCCATCGACCATAGAGCTCTGCCATGATGCCTGGAGAGAAACCCAGGGGTGCTCTGGTGACCAGGCATTCTGATCATGGGTCTTTGGAATCCGAATCTCCAGGCAGGAAGGAAATGCTCACAGCCTAGTCTCCTACCCTGCTGTGGCTCAGCGCTGGAGGTAGTGGGGGCGTGGGGGTGGGTTGGCATAATGCCAAGCCTAGGGCTTCACTGGGAAAGGGCTGCAAAGGGCCCCTGGCCGCCCCATCAGGTCTGGTCAAGCTCTGCCCCTCTCAGCCTCCCACAGCACTGTGTGTACATCCCTGCAGCCTGACTGCCCAGCAGGAGGTTATTACCGGCCACAGAGGCCTGGCATCTGCCCAGGCCACTCACTCACCAAAAGCCTGGCAGTGGGATTCCCCAGCTGGGGGTGAGGGAGTGAGGAATCCCCTCTTGCCTGCATCCAATGTGTTTGGGCTTCAGCTCTGGTTTCAGAGCCCTGGGGGTCCCTGGGTAAGGGGCTCTGCTGGGAAAGTGTCCCAGGCTGCCCCTAGTGATAGAAAGGAGCTGGGGAATGAACAGCTGGTTGAGGGGCTCTGTGGAGGGCAGGGAGATGGCTCCTGTAATCACAGGAAGGGGGGGAGGGGGGGCTTAGTTTCACCAGAATAGATGATCAGAATCTGGAGGGGGGCCGCTGTGGACCTCAATGGGGAATGCAGGGTTTTCAGCCCCTTTAGAAGGGGCCGGTGACCCCTGAAGAGGCCCAGGAAAAAGGAAGGGGCCCTGACCCTCAGTAGGGGAGTGAGGAGTCTTTAGACCCTGAGGGAGGCCAAGATCCTGGAAGAGAAGGCCAAGACCCTCCACGGGGTTGGAAAATAGTCAGACTCTTGAAAGGGGGGGGGCATGACCCTCAATGAGGGGGAGAGTCGTTAGACCCTGGGGGGGTACGATCACGGGAGAGGAGGAGGCTGTGACCTGGGGAGGCCCTGACCCCGCGACTCCGAGGGGCCCCATGTCACCCGCTG